AAATAGTTCAATAGGAATGCAAAACCAATAATTTTTTTTTTAAGAAATACTAAACTAATTTGTCTTGAATTAAAATAAACAAACAATATAGTTCATCATTCATCCAATATAATGAAAAACTTAACCTAACATTCTTATAATTAAATTACACAAAAATAATTAGGAAAAATTACTTGAAGATAAGAAAGATGGAAGAAGTAAGGAAAATCCACGTTCTTGATTCAAATATTAAAATTGGGCTATGAATCTTCAAAATCTTTGTTTGATTCGCCTTGAATTAATGTATAGACTTGTTCTTCGCTTCCGAAATATGTAGAATGTGATGAAATTTAAATCGAATGGCCCCCAAGTTCTGATCGAGTTTGGTATTTTAATGATACCAAAAAAATTGCATTGAATTATTACCAAAACAAAAATAAGGAAAATATGATTTTTTTTTTTTGAACTGAGGCGCTCGCTTAGGCATATCTAGAGTGCGTGCCTGGTTGGTTTGGGACGCATCAGGCATCCCATTTTTGATTGGGGCGTGCAGCCTCCTGTGCAGGCTAGGGCTCGAGCTTCTTCTAATTTTCAACAGTCGAACGATTTTCACTATTTTTGTAATAACTTTCTCTCTCGATATCTGATTGAGGTAATTCAAAGTACATTATAAAGCTAACTCGGAGGGCTACAATTCTTATGATTATTTTTTAATTTGAAAGCTTATTATGCAAAAATTGGGTCTCAATGTGAAGCTAAAGACATGACTTTTTCAGCTGAAAGTTGATTTGTGATAATATTTTGACTATACTTCATCCATTTGACTTTTTTTCTTATCCAATTGACCCATAGTACTCTCAAATTTTCATCGTGAGGTTCGACGTAACTTTTTAGTAGTTGCACTTTAGTCCCCGGACTTTGTGTTTGCTTCATTTCAACTCTCTTTCTCTTGCAATATTGTTCATTTATCTTCCAAGTTTATCCAATTAAATGTTTGGTATCTTCGATCTTCATTTCGTTGCCCGTCTCATCTATGGATTGTTTGCAATTTAGTCCTCGACTTTTGAATTTCGTCATTTTTCACTATTTTTGTATTTTTTATTTCAATTTTTCATCAAACATCGAGTTTTACCTACAAAAAGCAATAATATAACACATGTTATGTAGTATTTTACCCAAAGAATAGTAAAATATCATTATTTAGGATTTCGAATAAGTGTAGAAACTACACTTATCAGGACCCTTATCTACCATATGCATGCCTCATTATTCATTGGTATAACAATAGTAATCTAAGTCCGATTCACACATTTATGTGATGGTCAGACTTTGAAATAGAAGTTGTCTCCAGTTAGATGATGATTTACGAAATACCTCTGAAATATGAGTTGATCCAAAGTGATGGTTTATGAATGAGATTTCAAATGTAGTCAACTTCAAATAGGT